TAAAATAATTTCAAGATGGAAAATGGTGACTGTGAATAATCTTTTTCAAGGTCTTCTGCTCACTTTAAGATGACTTATTTTGCATTCTATGTTTTTATTCCACCCTTGTTGACACAATGGAATTTATTAATGCCTATGGGTCCTGCCAGCTTTGGCATTTTTTGCAAATACGATCCTGCAACAACATCATATAGACCAAGAGTAGGTGCTTATGTGAGGTGTCATCAATTACTTACCAAGGTCACTGCATGCTGATCCTCCGGGAATCATATTATAGGCACTCTTTCATAGCCTGAAGGAAAAGATACTGAATTATCAGATTGTTTTTCAAAATAACATTCTGATTATTTTTGACCCAAGTTAATATTCAGTCTAAAAATGCCAAGAAGAGAGATTATTTCAATTTAAACTAGTGCAAGAGAAAAACAGTAAATGGCCTGCATACGTTGGATAATAATTAAAGCATGCTGTGCAGTTTAAAAATTAATGTAGCATTGTTGTACTAACTTCATTATTATTGCTTTAAATTAAAGAAAGGTGACTAATACTAGGCTTACAGGTAGACCAAGTTAAAAGAACCTAGTGTAGAACAACTTAACCTGTTTACCACTGAATACAGTGTCAGCCTACAGGTGATGTACAAAACAACAGCAAAACATGCAACTGCCTCTTCCTGTGTGCCATCAAGGAAGCCAGCAAACAAAGTAAGTAAAAAAAAAACCTTAAAAAATGTAGCCTAAGTTGTATTTGTTTGTAAAAGAAAACTATTATACCTAAAATTGCACAAGATGGTCAAGGGACTATTACAAGAAAATATTAGGTTCATGATAAAATGCTGTGAAATAGAGAATCTAGAGGTTTATTTAATCTATTAATCTCAGCAGAGGAAGTGTCTAAATGGCAAAGAATGATCTGAAGTATCTCACCATCTCATCCACACAGCAGACACAAAATAGTAGCTGCAGTGCAAACTATCAGAGTGTTTAAACAGCATAAACACTTACTTGAAGACGCTGCCTTTAGGAATATCAAGATAAAGCAGCCTCAGACTTAGGTCCTGGAGGAGTAACACTGAAGATTATCTATAATGATGACCTTTACAGGACTGATGTCTGCCCATCTATTTGGAATTGGATTAGTAGTTGGTTTTGTTTTAGACGTGTCTCGTAAAACTGGATGGGGATGCCATTACCTCCTGCTGCAGTTCCTTGAAAGGCATATTGATGAAATTAAAAAGTGAGCATTTTCTTTTGAACGTCAGGCAAGAGCCATCAACAAACTAAACAATCCTGGCTTATACTAGCACTCCCTGATAAGGCAATACAGTGCCAGTGACAAATACAGTATTTTGTTGCCAGAAAAGAGCAATCTTGTGTTTAGTATGTGAATGAAATGCAACCCTGCAAAGAAAATGGTGAATGGTGACAGTATCATTATCTTGCTCTTATGCCTTTAAACATACTGAAAAATAATCAGCTCTTTCCAAATATGCAGGAGTGCTCTTAATTCAAGTGCTGCACTTAAAGATGATGGTCAATACGGAACATTGATTAGGTAACATCAATGAAATCAAGCAAACTTCCTTCTCAAGAGCCTCTAAACACACCACCGTGTCCTGCTAATCCAGGTGAAAACATTCCAGTCAGTAGCGTCAAAAAGAAAAGGGAAAACATAAAGCCCAGAATAGATGCAGCTCTCATTTTCACAATGACAAGTGAACATACAATGCTAACAAATCCAACTTGCTTACAACGAAACCAATTTATTCCAACTCCACATAGACTGAAGAGGAATAAAAATGTTCTGCATCCATACAGTGACCACTATACCATTGATAGACCAGGATCTGGTTTGACACTGACACCTGTTGGTTCTGCTTTCACACTGCACGACACAAAAGCAGCACATTCTTTCTACCTTTTTGCACCATGCTATTCTTTGACATCCCCTAATGGGTGCTGATAATAGTACAGGAATAATTTTATAGTAAACCAAAGGCACTACAACTTAGGAAAGTAGGCCAATCCACTGGCAAGAGATTGCTTGTTCCCTCAGGAAAATGCCTACCTGGGAAAATAATAAAATTATGGACCTAACCCAATTTTCATTGACTATAATGGAAGTTCTTCTCTGACTTTGCTGAGGGTTAGAGTGGGCCTGGAGGAAGAATCTCAAATCTGATAGATACTTTTTCACTTATCAATACCAAGAAGAAGGAAGGGCAGAATGAAAGAAAAGAACCACCACAAATTACAGCAAAACCAGACCACAGGCAATCCAGATGAAGCAAAATGAGAGAAGTTATCTTTCTTGTTGCTGGCTGCTGTGGTGCAAGAGACCTCCATCATGTTTGGAATGACCTTTCTCTGGAAGTCAAAATATTATGCAAATTACAGGCAGTTCCAGCTGGGAACAAAGTTCTGCAAGTGTGTATTAATCTTGCAGCAGCTATAGAATATGGGATTGTGTCAGTCTATTTAGATTGAACACACAGATGTGGCTTTTTTTTTCAATTCTGGCTTCTTCTTATTCATATCCACCAAAGGGAGGTTTGAGGGGCCAAGCAACAAAAATATATAAAAATAATAGTATAGCTATTAGGGTCAGGACTTTTCCTCTTCATTGATTCTGCCTATAGGCTTCCTACACAAGAAGTCCAACAGGGCTGAAAAACAGGAGTGATGTATTTAAAACCCTATGTCTTTATCCAACAGAATAGATTTTGAGTGAAAGAAGTGTCATGAGAAATAAGATGTAATGCTGGGAAGGAGCTTCCAGCTGCTATGATACAGCACTCTCTCTCCTTCTTAGTAGCTAGCTTACATAAATAATGGTCTGCAATGAAAGGCCCTTCATTGTGGATCTGCTTATGTTTTGAATTTATATTTGCTAAAGGCAAAGTATCTCCTTTCTCACATGAGGACATGTTTGAAAGCAGTGAAGACAACCATTTAAAAGAAGCTATGATACTCTTTGCAAGGCTCATATTCTTTGCTATAGCCTGAACACTATAGCATTTATATAAAAAGAGACAGCTGCAGTCTCTGGTAGAGAGAGTTTCATGGAAGAACAGAAATTTAGAATAGCTAAAAAGAAGAAATGGAACATATTAAAGCTTAAAACTTGTTGCTGGTGTTTCTAGTTTACGTTTTGCTCCAAAACACTTGGAAACCTACCCCTTCTGCTTCCTTTTAAAGTGGAATTAGGAATCTCTAGGCATTTCCCCCTTAGGTTGATTTCTGGAAGTTGTAAGAATATCAAAATAGCTTAGAGATATTGAAAGAAGGAGATAGTGTCCAGAGAGAGTCACTGGTCAATTTTTTTGTTTATGCAAGAAACAAGAAAGTTCTTACTGGAACGGATCAGATATGGACTTACCTCCCTGGAAGAGGAAGGATCCTGCAATAATTGCATTAGGGAGTGTCGTATCAGTTGCAGCAATTTCAAGGGACTCTTCAAGGATTGCACTGGATGCACTCTGCATGGGAGAGTCTCCCCAAACTGACTTCCCAAAGGTTTCTGCAATCCTACCAGGTCCTGAAAAGCAATTTGACCCCAATCTCTTGTCTCTGACCAGGTTACAAAACTAGTTCTACTCATTTAAGGATTCTCACTTTTACAAACACATTTTGAGTGATAGAAAGACACAACAATCTGCTATTTATGGCAAGTAATAAAAGGTAAGTATTTTCTAATTTTCTTTCATCTCATATATATACACAAACAGATCTCTCTTGCAGGTTCACGCTTAATAAACAGTCCATAAAGAAAATAACTATCTGGTTTATGGAGTTACTAGTTTCCAACCCCTCCCAAATCAGCCCAAGCCCAACAGACACCACTTCCCTCAGAAGAACTCACTTATGTTAGCTTATGCACATGAGAACCTCTTTTGACGTTAATACCAAATAGGCACTTTATAATTTAGTATCCATTACATGAGGGAAAAGAAAATACTTCAGGCATTGCTTATATTCATATTAATGCTGATCCAAAAAGAACAGTGAGAGCTCTGGGATGACAAAGCAGGCCAGGATAGCTTAGGATGAAGACAAAATTTATGCAAGAGACAGGAAGACTTAAAAAACATTTCATATAGTAGGTATGGTAGACCATATGCAAAGAAATAATACAATTGGGTAAAAAGCAACTCCAATCCCTCACACAACAGCCACCTCCATTATACAAGGTTGCCAGAATGTAAACAGTTAAAAAAAAAATAAAAATCATGTCACTCACCTTAATATTTACTTATATTGATGTTTTCAAATAATTAGTGCTTTAAAACACAGCTGGAAAGATTTTGAAGATTAACAATACTGCATTAAGAGGCATTTTTTTTGCTACCAAAATCTCTTAATTCTAACGTTTCACTAACCATTCCCAAATAGGTATAACTAAACTACTGAAGAACTTTTAAGGATGCCATCAGGAAGACTCTGACAGCCTATAAAACCATGTCTCTATGTTAGCATTAATATTAATTTTCTACTGGCCTTTCTGTGCCGGACAAAGTTACTTATTTGTTCAAAGCCAAAGGCAACCTGATCTTCACAGAACTTGAATGGGACTGTAGCCACACACTTCAGCTGAGCACCTGGGCTGCAACGTCGTTCGTTGTCTTCTGGTATTTTTTCCAGACACGGGTCAAAACACAACGCAGCTGTAAAATTCACCTGCATGCCAGTGCAGATGCAAGCGGGACACTGTGCTGGCAGAGAACGTGCTGTTGTGTATTTGCACCTCTCTATCTACTCATTAGAAACTGATGAACAAGAAGAAAGCAGCTCTGGCACAGATCTATCCTTAAATTTTACATTTCTCCTCAGGTTTTAGCTCCCCCCCCCCTCCACGTTCCCCTTGCAGCCCTGGGAACGGCGGGTGGGTGAATGGAGGTCTTGTCTCCAGCCCCGACCCTGTGCTTCACCGTGAGCTGCTGCCTGTTCTAGGTCAGTCTTTGGGCTAATTCTGGTAAAACCGGCTGTCAGCATTAACAGGCCATGAGCGCAGGAGGTGCCGAGAGCGCTGATGTGCGGCGGCTCCGCTCTGATCCCGAGGAAAGGGCTCGGGCAGAGCGGGAAAAGCGTCCTTACCCCTGGGAGGGGAGGGGAGGCCGGGGACAGCACCTGCGGCCCTGCGGGGGTTTGTTCCTCGCTCTCCGGCTCTGCTCACTCACCGGACAGCTCCCCTGAGAGAGCCGGCAGCGGGAAGGGGCCGGCAGAGCCCAGCCCAGCAGGGAGGCTGACAGGCAGCTCTCCCGCTCCCTCGGCCGGCCCTGGGGACGTACCTGAACACCAACCTCCCGCCGCACCTTCGGCGGGTGCCCGCGGGGGGGCCCCACAGCCCCCTCCCACCACCACT